TCAATCAAAACTTTTGTTTTGTAATTTAAAAAAACACTATAATATTGTAGATTTTTCAATGTTTTAGTAAAAGATCGATTAATGTTATAACAGTGAAGTTATGTCAATATTATGAAAGAAAGAGACAATTTATTCATCTCACATTAATGTTGCCAGAGAATCTCTACAAAGAATGCCTGATTTCAAACTAGGTAGCAAAATCATAAAAAAATTATATTAATAAAAGATTTGGGTGAGTACATTTATAAAAATGAAAGCTTATAATTTACTCATGAATAAGTAAAACGTACCTTTCAAAATGTTCGAAAGATAAGCAAAATTAAATAATAATCTTATATGATAAATATTAAATATACGTTTTTAGTAAAAGACACATTAAAAAGCACATAATTATGTATAAGTATTAAAATTTATGAATTTCTGTGTGTTTGTGTTCTCTCGCTGTTGTTGCAAATTAAATACTATGTATGTTTTAAATAATTCGTATTTTAATATTAATTTATCACAATCAAGTATTAACTACATTTTGTTTGCATGTTTTAAGCTTTTATAATTTAAATCATAATTTTATAAATTAAATGAATCCCACAAAATGCATTTTACAGAATTAGCCATTTTGTTTGCATGTTTGTTGATATTTTATTAGACATATTAACTTAAATTACTTTAGGTAGCTTGTTTTATAAAAAATATCTTTTTTTTCTACTTTAGATTTTTGTTGATTTGATCTTATTTATAATGAACTTTAAAAAATAAATGACACAATAATAATTGTCACACAAATTATTTAACGTAAAGTTAAACAGCATTTTTATTGCAGCTTTATTCAATATTTGATAATAAATTTATTGTCTGTTTTTTCTATATCATATTTTATACTACTGTAATTTTTATTAAACCTTTTCTTTTGGGTCTAGTTAAAGAATATTTTTCATTTTTAATCAGTATTAATATTGTAAGAAAAAATATAAATAATAATTATAGATCTCATTGCATCAAAATTTTATTATAATAGTAACGTTTTATTTGTTAATATTTTATTTTGTATAGCAGCAGTTTAAAATAAACGTGGGCTTCCACCGCCGAATCATATCCTTGAAAACTAAGGTAACAAGTGTGGTGGAAACTCACGTTAATTTTGTATTTTTTTTGCAAAAAAAAAGATTTTTTTAAGTATATAAGTGATACGTATAAATTTGGTGAATCTTGACTATTTTGTAGGTTAATAAAAATAAAGCAGAAATATTTATGTTTAAGACACTAGTCATATTCTTGAATTTAAACATTATTGTTCAAATATTAATTTCTTTCATCCTCGCATTAATTAGTTATGTGAAAGTTGTATTCAATCTTATTTATTAATTTATTTAATTTCATTGTAATTTTGCATTTTAGCTCACATTCCTAGTCTCAGCTGCGTTTGCAGTCTGCAAAGAAAATCTGAAAAATATAGGAAACATTATTTATTACTTAGTAAATTTATTTATCAATTTATAAATCTGTACAGTATTGGCAACTAATTTATGAAGCACATTTATATTAAAAATATATTGCTAATTAAAAAATGCATAATAATCATGTTCGAGTTATTTTGTTGCTGCTAACAGTTATTGATGTGTAAAATAATCGTATTAAATGGCAGGACCGTATTTTAAAAGTGCTATAACATATGTAAACTAAAAGCAGCTTTGTTAAGATGTTTTCTTGTAGCGATCACTTCTATGCTTTAACCGTGAGCTTCCACTGATGATACACTGGTACAAAAAGAACTATCTTTTATGTGTTTCATCAGTGGAAACTAAAGGTTATAATTCGATGTGCTCCAGAACTGTACTGTATAGAAGTTTTACAGACAATATATACGTTGTTTAGGTAGTACGTAGGCACTGAAGTTTATGCAGTTGGTTATATTCATGTATAAATAATCAAATAAATTGGAGCAGCAAATAAATGTTTTATTTCATATTCGATTTGTAATAATAATTGAATTGGTAATCTTCTCTTAACTAACTATTCCTGCGAATTTGTAATGCTATTTCACCTGTACGTAAATTTTTGCTATCTCTCTTTAACTAAAGGGAATATGAGAGACAGAAAAATATTTTTAGCAGCAAAACACAGAATACAAAAAACGGCACTAACTGCGATTTTCTTAGACCGAAATCTCAGTTTAAACATATTGCTATCTCTGTTATGTCAAAGATAATGACAGGGATGGCAATATGTGTTACCGAAGTTTAGATCTACGAAACTCACGGTAAGTTTTTTTTTGTTCGAGAAGGGGGCAAAAGAGTGGAACACCAGGGTGTTCATGGACATCTGCATACCACAGGAACCGCAAATACGGCTTATACAGGGTGTTTGCAATAAAACCAACAAAGAATTTCAACTAAACATAATATTTATTATTCTCGGTAATATTTGAACTCTCGTTATCTAAAATATCTACATATATGCCCTGATATTTACACGCTTCCATTTAATTTAGACAATAATATAATAATTGTAGAATATACAAAATAACACCCAACAATCGATTTGAGTTAACGAGAATATTATATATTAAGTACAACACGTCCAGTTATAATTTAGAAACAGGAAATACATAGTAAATTCATTCACAAACTAAGTGCTTACGAAGTTAGCTTATAATGTGCCACTTTTTAAGGCGAACAATTTTCAAAATTACAAGTGCTATATATTTGTGTGCTTGATTAGAAATGTTGCTAACATAAAGCTTTATAATTTAATATGTAGTATCCATAAGTAGAAAAAATAGTTTTCAATTTCACATCTGTGGCAAAGCAGGTTACTGGGACTTTGTAAAATATTTTTTTATTATTAATAACAACATTTTAAGTACTATTTATGTAAGTACGAACATGAGTATTGGCGTTTAATGATATCGCCGAGGTTTGGAATGTATAAAAATATAACAAACATTGTGCAAGTAAAGGATCATTAGTTATAAACATATTTTTTGAAAAGGTATGAAGATTGATAGAATGTATTGGCAATTAACTTCTTATTTATACGACATAGACAAACTTTTGAATAAAATCCAAAGACAGATAGAAAACTTTTTACGATATTAATGTCAGTTTAAAGTCGCATTTAATGTCTTAGTAAAAGTAGATTATTTTAGCGTGAGATTGATTCTTATCCTGAAGTTAACTGCAAGTACACGTAAACTATTTCAAAATGAAAGTTATTACACGACACGAAACGTTTTCACAATAACAGAGTGAAAATAACAAAAAAATGTCGATGAATAATTTTAACGAAAAATTAAAAAAAGATTGTACTATTACAATGTCCTTAAATACCTGCTTAAAATGAATGAAGTCTAATTAAAAAAAATATTACAAACAAAACAGATTCACAAACAGTGTAAAGTTAAAAAAATATCCTACAAATTTACAATTATATACAAAAAAAGAAGTAAAAAAAAGTATATCCAAAACCCTATTATACAAAAACCTTATCTTGTTTACTTAAATACTGCATTGTTGTTTGTTCGTTTGTATGTCGCGGTCTACGTCTGTCCTAATACTGTCCGTGGACGTATAACATAGAGTTAGTCTTAAATTACGTATTCATATAGACAGGACACTGTGCAGAGCAAAAGCAGTGCTATATCTGAATATATTCATTATATCTACTAAAATAATGATTACTCATTCGCTTAAGTAAATATAGTTCTTTTATTAAGTTATAGGAATATAATTTTTAAATCGTCATCAAGTAATTCTATGGTGATATATAAACACGGCTAAACACTCATGTATATTCGTCCGGTGGCGGCACCGACTAGTATCGAGCCCATCGGGGGCCCTTCTTCAGGCTGGTATTATTTCGCGGACGCGGCCCGACGCTCACTGACGGTGAAGTGACACACTAGTCGGTGCCGCCACCGGACGAATATACGTGAGTGTTTAGCCGTGTTTATATATCAGCTTAGTATAATGTCTCACGAAAGTTTGAATAATTTAATTCTATGGTGTTAAATAAGATTCTAAGTTAAAGAGAAATCACGTGACATGTTCAATGGACATAGTTTGAATCACTCTGAATCATCGTGGGTGTCCATTGCCGAATATCTCTGGTTCAAGTAAAAACTGACATTTCATCAGAAGATAAAATTTGTTAAAACGTATTGTTTTACAAAAATGTTTTAACAAATTTTATCTTCAGAAAAATGCTACTTCTCTTTCTAGATTTCAATGAATCCAACTAAAAAGTCTTCGTTAAATTTGACACATTCATAGACAAAATATGTTGTCAAAATTGAAATGACAATTAAGTTATCGAAAATAGATTAAGAAAATATTTTTTTTTAGAAGACTACAATATTTTACTAACAATTATCAAAACTACGAATATATTAAAGCAAGAATGATACATTTTTAAATTGCGCTAAATATGACGTTAAGTATTCATCGTTCATTACCTTCGTTTATTAATTATTTTTACGAAGATATTAATATATCTAGTCCCAAATATTTCTTTGTATAAGTACTTTTAAAACGTTTATAAGATACGAAGCAACATAATATAAAATTTGGGAACGCTGCAACTTTTATTGACAATGTAACAAGCTAGGTTTTGACCCGGACTTGCCTTATTTTTTGCTTTGACGTCAGATATTAAGTTATATGGACGGTATGGTCAAATTTTAAATAATTCCATGCAATTTTAATTATAAGTGATACATTTGTTATTTACTAAATGTCTTGATAAAGTCTATTCACTTATATTTTTTTAATAAGTTTTTAATGATTTAAGTAGCAAGATTAAGTAAATAATCAAGTCTTTGTTTCAAGTAATTGCCGCAATTTTTATAAGTAATTTGTTCCTAATGTAATCATTAAAAATTCGGACAAAATCTTCACAAAACGATTTGGTATTTTATGCAAAGAATAGTATAAACGCGCGACAGGAACTGATTAATTAAACTATTTATAAAATTCTTTACTCTTCAAATAAAATCGTTCATCAATTCATTCGTCTTTCAGGAACTGTATCGAATTAGTCATATCTCTTGTCCATAATTTGACCTTGATAAGTCTCTTGACTTTCCAACCCTTATCATTGGAATACATTTGGACAACAAATTCGTTTATAGATGGCGTTTTCTTCATGGTGAAGACCCTTTGAGACTTAGTTAGCTGATACTGCTGCTTAAAAGGGTATGAGGACACGAAACCGAACAATTCCCAATCGGTAATAACATTCGAAATCGAGCCCGTCTTCTAAAGCACTTTTATTGTATCGGATCTTTAAGGTAGTAACATCATATTGTGTGCGATCAGCATATTGAATGCAATATGAGCGTCTCAAGATGTGTTTGAGCGCAGTTTAGAGCGGCGCGGGTGTGAGGAAGGGGTTGGTGCTGGCGAGGGGGCGGGGCGCGCAGTCC